AACCAATTGAGTCCAAGCATTGAAATAGTGGTGATTGTGGTACTCTAAAGGCTTTTTCCAAATATATAAAACATGCGTAAATATTTTCCTAGACTCAATGCTCTTTTGTAAGAGTATTCGCATGCAAAAAAGAGTCTCTCGAGTACCCATACAGTTTCGGAAACCAAACTGCTTATCACCAGTTCTCCCTCACAAAGTTTATATATGCGACAATGCAATATTCATAAAAAATTTTAGAGTGTGACTCATTAACCTGATAAGTCGATAGCCGCTACACTTTCTGGCATTCCTTTTCTTGGGAATAGTTATAAATATTGATTCTAACGGTTGTCTGCTAATTTACTGCTGTATATATTGTTAAAGAAGGTGATAATAGCAACCATCTTATCATCTAATGGTTTTAACAATTCTGGATGTATTTCATCAGGACCATAAGCTTTCTTCGTTTCGTTTGGTCAATGGCCTTCTGAACTTCTGAGATTAGGTTAATTTCGGTGAGCCATGTCGGATAGAAACGTTAGTTAGTTAAAAATGTAATTTTTATTACAACCAATACTTGTGGCTTAATCTCATATAAACGTAATATAAAAAAAAAACAGTAGATACCACAGGTATATGAGATTGGCCAGATAAGGTTCCTGTATTTCTCGCGAAGATCGAATGTTTGCCCATAGGTAACCAATAAACTTCTTTCTTAAAAGATCGTTATCCCTACACATGGAAGCTACCGCAGTCCTTTTTCACTAAACTCCCAAGTGGAGATGTTAACACTTTCAGAGTTACTTGGTTAAGGATTTCTTCCCTGGCTCCAAAACAACAGTTTGGTTCCTATATTTCTTAACAGTTCTTAAAGGTTCCTAACAGTTTTCTTAGTTGCTGCGTACGCTTTTTCGCAAGATTCTGTAAGCTTAAACTTCTTGCTATTCACCACGCTTAATTTTAATATATTTATCAATGTGTAACCATAAGACTACCAAAGAGAATTGAAGTACTATTGTAAAAATAATACCTCAATCAGCCATGGGAGCTTATCGTCTATACCTTGCTCCGTATTTTAGTATAGACAAATTTTAACCAAACGTATTTATTAAAAAGAATAAAAAACAATAATTAACCCTGCCAAAGAGTAACAGTTAATAAGTGCTACTTTTTGATTTGATGGGCTGCTTGTGTGTTCTAACTGTTAGGTCCTCCAATTAAAAGTTGTGGTTACTGGAGAGCTGCAGTCATATGTGGTTATATGTCCTGATTAGATTGTAAAGTCCAATAAATGGTCCTCATTATTTTGAGTGTGGTCTATAAACCCAATAAATACAATAAGGCTGTCAATAAGCCCAATAAAGTTGTCAATATGCCAATAAAATGCCCAATAAACCCAAGAGAATTTGTAGACCATAAAAAAAAATTGCGGTTATATTTTAAAAAATTTTTACATATTTTATAACTAACAATTTTCAAGTTAGTTAATTTTTTTATAAAAATGGTTGACGCAATAAAAATCATTTCAAGGTAATAAAGCCGCTTTTATAGTGAAAGCGTTATATATCTAATATTAAAATTTTTACAAATTCTTTCTTTTCCGCTGGTTGCCATCTCTAGTGATCGACACTCGCGGCGCATGGCATTCCCTATCGATGATATCATAGTAATGTTATGAATATTATTTTCCCGGGAAAGTGATATTGGCATTTAATTATAAAAATATTCTAGGAGGAACTATAGTTTTATAGGTATTACTCCGGTATTTAAAAATGATGATTTAGGTAATATTCGCTAGATCTTCACGAAATGCTTCAAAATCATCGACTTCATCTACAGGACGGGCTTCTCAACAGATAAAAAAATAAATAAAATACAGCTTACATCGAAAAGATTTCCTAAGAGGATATAAAAACATCAAAATAGACGTATTTTCTACTGAAAGTGTGGTTAATTCCCATTAACATTAATACATAACATTAATAACATAAAAACGTCACAAGAAAATAGCTTCTGAACAATATTAGAATTTTGAAAGTTAGCAAACAGTTCAAGACAACGGAGGATTAATGTTACTTGTTATAAGTATATGAAATAGTATTAATACATATTTAAAAAAAAAAAAATAGGGCCTACAACCAAATCCGACAAAGGCCGAAGTTATTACTTTCCATCTAAATAGTCGCGAAGGAAACCACAGATTGAACCTAGAAAGCAAAGGAGTTATCCTAAAACATAACCCAAACCCAAAATATCTTTGTGTCCTACTAGATCGTACTCTAACTTTCAAGCAACACTTACATAAAACTGCAGCTAATACTGGGGAACCAATGCAGATATAATCGTTATTCAGATACAGATGCAATGCAGATACAATACCAGCGCTCTTGCTATTCTCTATTCAACAACCGAATATTGTGCTCCAGTCTGACTAAAAAGTCACCACAATAAAGTTCTAGATGTACAATTAAATTAAGCCATGAGGATATATTACGGGGACCCATAAAGAGTACGCCAACTCAAAAGCTTCCGGTTTTAAGCTACATTGCACCACCCAAAACACGACGGTTAGCTCAGTACCAGAAATTTCAAAAGCATCCCTTACTGTCAATAAATATCTACATGGATCAGCTAAACCAGGGCCAACTGCGGCTGAAATCTCGAAACCCACCAACAAGAACAGCTAACAATCTTCCAAACAATTTCACAATCAATGAGCATTGGATAGGTGAATGGGACGAAGAAATGAACAACACACATCTAATAAAAAATCTTAAAGTTAAAAAAACGGTTTCTCTCTTCCGCGCCGAGAATGGTGTAATCTGAACCGAATCAGAGTACGTCATCGAGTATGCAATAAATTACTTAAACAATGAGGCATTGCAGACATGTATCACTAGACAGACATACATCACTATGTCACGAATGCAATTCTACTGAACAAACACCACATCATCCAAGAATGTCCAGCCACACGATACGAAGGTAGTTTAAACGAAAATCCATGAACCAACTCCTGAGTGGAATGGCTCAATGGTAGTAATATCTAGCTTTAATATGTTCCTCTGACGGCAACTGATTTTATATGTACTTTTGTTTTCGTCCACTGTGCCACATCCTTCGTGTTGTTCCATTCTTCTTGCCATCTTTCAATTGACCTTTCCATTTTCTGTCTTCTCTCGGCCATAGTAAGGTTTGGGCCTCTTCTCTCATAGAGCTCTTTTGAACACATCCATTGATGGTCCACAAGGCTGCCGCAGACACAGTCCTGTAGGCGCATGCCACTCGCAACAGACTTGTTCTGTCCACTTGTGTCATGAGCCTTCTATAGACCGTTATCTCTACCGCACCGCTCTAGACCGGTGCTGCGTAGAGAACGATCGACTGTACAACACCGTGTAAGACCCTCCTCCTTTTGGATTTGGGTCCCCTAATGTCGAGCATCACCCTCCCCAACGCAGCCGCACTATTCGGCAGTCTTCCGGGCCACCTTCCGCATGTGCTTCCCCCATTTTCCATTCTGGTGCAATGTCCCTCCTAGGTACTTTACGTGTTTCTTAGGTGTTAGACATCTTCCCGCACATTGTAATTCAACACTTTGCCTGTTCCTTTTCTCTTTCGGAATAATGGCTTCGGTTTTCTCTGCCGCAAGTTTCATTTCGTGCTGCGTCATCCATTTATTTACGACGCGGCCTGCGTTCCAAACCCGGTATTTGAGATCTGGCCCATCCCGGAACACTACTAGTACAATAGCGAGGTCATCCGCGAATGCGAAGGGGGTTGTACCCTCTCCTTATTCACAGTGCATAGCCCCGTCATATGCCAGTTTCCATAGCGTCGGCACCAAGACAGATTCCTGTCTTAACCATAACACTTATGTCAGACAGCTTCTCCGCCACCAAATTCATCAGGTAACCAGGACATTCTTTCTCCTCCAGCGTATTGAATGCATTCCTAACATCGAACAACAGCAGGGTCGCCCTGCGATATTCATCCACTCTGTTGCGCAATGCTTCGAGTACATTCACAATTGCATCAATCGTGCTTTTCCCTTTACAAAAACCAATTTGCCTCCGAGATAAACCACTTGACCTCTCAATCATGTCATCTATGCGTATTCGCAGCATCCTTTCATACAGCTTACCGACGCACGGAATAAGACAGATGTGGCGATACTTTTTCCCAGCCTTGGGGAACAGGCTCCGCTTGTCCTAGACCTTTCACCACCTTAGGTGGTAGCTGATCCAGTCCGGGGGACCTGCGCGTCTTGAGTGAACCCAATGCCTCGACAAGTTCATCCATGGTAAAGGGTGCCGCCCGCTCAGCTCCCTCATCCCTCCATACAGCACGCCATCTGCCGTCCGGAAAGAACTCTCGTGTAACCAATGTCAAGCTTCTTGTCCATAGGCATTCCGTAAAGAGGAAATGCATGAAATTTCTTCATGACTATCTTGTATCCCTGACTCCAGATGTCCTCATCCAGCTTTTCACACAGCTCTTTCCAGTGCCTTCTTTTTTCTGTTCCGATTTTCCTGTAAAGTTCCCTCTTCCTTGCGAGGTACTCTTCCTCGATCTCCTCGATGACCTTAGGGTTGATCCCTGCTCTGTCCCTTGCTTTCGTTAACCTTCTTCTCATTGCTACACATTCATTTCTTAGTGCCTCGATGTCCACATTCCACCAGAATGGCATCCTGTTGACATCTCGGCGAGCTATCTTGCTTCCTTCCACCGCTTCTTTAATGACTCTCTCCAAGTTTTCAAAGTGATTTTGGACTTTGTGCGCTTTTTCAGTAAAATTGTGTTACTTTTCCATATGATTTTAATAATAACTTAAATAGCGATCTTACATTGTTTATATATTGTTTATAAATAAAAAATGACGTTTAATCTTTTGCATATTTTGTTTATTGTATGTTGTTATCACCAAATTTATCAAAAGCAGTTGTTAGATACCTGTATCAACGAGTGTCACGAAAAATGCTTTTTATATAAATCTGGATACTTATCAATAAGAATCTTACCGTTCGAGCTGTTGTTCTTTGCAGTTGGTTCGGTATAACAGATGTAATCGTTGTGCACCTTCCACTCTTGTAGCTGATCCAATACAAAGGATCTTTGGCAGCATCTTGACAGTCAGAACGTAAGCTACATCTGAAAAAAATATATATAAATTATGACATTATCTTTGAGAAATCGCCTAGGTATCACAGAAGGTTCAACTTTTGGTAAAATTACTATGGTCAATTAAAGAACAGTTTATTTTAAACTAATCGCTTAAAAAAGTTTTATAATTCACTAGAAAAATATATTTACAGGTAAGTTCTATTTCAAATTGTTACATTTTATGATAAAGCAAAAACTAGACTAATTTGAGGGATTTGCTCACGTTCGTCACGAACTGCTTGCTCCAAATCATTCATGGTTTCAAACTCACCATGGTTACGTCGAATACGTTGTCCCAGAATATACCATGCATGCTCTATTGGATTTAATTCTGCACTCCTTGGGGATCATGATAATAAACGAATCCCAACTTCATCCAAGTAATCCCGTGTTATTTTTGCGATATGCGGACGAGCATTATCTTGCATCAGACGAAAGTTTTCTTTCGTCTGATAAAACAAATGGGGCAAATGGCACTACATGATCTCCCAAACATTGCTGAATATACCGTTGAGCGTTCAAATTGCCCCCTTCAATTATAACAAGTTCTGTATGAGCCTCTAGGGAAATGCCTGTCTACACCATTATACCACTTCCACCAATTTGAACTCTTGGAGTAAAACAACATTGCTGATAACGTTCACCAGCTGTTCTGCATATCCTAGACCGCCCATTTGATGAGTATCTGTTAAATCTTGATTCATCGGTGAAAAGCACAGCACTCCAATCGTCAACACCACAAATAAGATGTTTGCGAGCGCTACCTCCCGTGACCGAGGTCCCGTGACAGTTATTCTGGACCTTAATCATATTCATTAAGCGTCTTCGAACGGTATAAACGGAAACTGTGTTTCTATGGACATCATTTAATCGTTAAACAAGTACTGGTGCTGATAATGTACGATCGCGTATCGCTTGTAACCTAAGAAAGCGATCTTCCACTTGACTTGTAATAGACTTCCAACCTTTCAACGAAAGATTATGCACACTAAGAATCAGAGGTAAATTCTTTTAATATTCAATAATAAATGCCCATACACCAGCTGAGGAGAAGCTGGATGAAAAAAAAGAACAATTTTATGAACAACTTGGAAAATATACAAGATTGTCGTAGAACTGACGTAAAGGCCTTAATAGGAGATTTTAATGCAAAGATAGGTAAGGAGAAGGAATACATGCCAACACAGTAAACCAAATCGACCATGTTGTTGTTGACGCAAGACACTTCGGCGACGTGATAGACGTACGTGCAAGACGCAGGGCGAGCATAGACTCGGACCATTACCTACTAACAAGCTAAACTAAGAGCTAGAATCTCCAATGCAAAGAAAGAAAAAGGAGTTAAAGAGGAAAGGTTTAAAGTAGAAGCGTTGAAGAACCCTGAGATAGCTAAGAGATTCGAGGAATGTTATAGTTGAAGATATTAACAACGTTTAGAGGCAGTGTAGAGCCATATTGGAAGAAGTGGCAACTGAAGTTATCGGAAAGCAAAAACGTAAAAAATTAAGGTCAGACTGGTACGATGAGGAATGCGTACAAGCAATGCAAGGAAAAAAATGAGGCATATAGAAGACTCCAAGGGCGAAAAACGAGACAAACAGAGGAAGAGTATAGGAAGCTGAGACGAGAAGAAAAACGAAAACTTAAAAAAAAGAAACAGCATATTCTTCTTTTGTTGGTGCCTGTCCGTTCCGAACGTTGGCGATAATTCTGGCTATGATGACTTTGTTGGTTGCTATAAGAAATAGCTCTGTTGAGGTCTTTCTATACCATGCTCTCTAGTTAGCAAGCCAGTTTACTTTGTAAAATTCATTGAAGTAGCTCGTATCTGCCTTGATTTCTCATTATATCTAGCATAAAGAAGAGCATATAGAGAGCCCCAACTAAAAGAACTAGTGAACTATAAGTCACAAGCAGAAACGCGAAAGTTCTACAAGAGGATTAACCAGAACAGGAAAGAATTCAAACCTAGATTATCAATCGTTAGAAATAGAACAGGGGAGATCATTGGTGATCAGGACCAGATACTAGAAAGATGGGCAGAAAACTTCGAGGAAAGGCTAAATATAAGAGGTGAGACAGGGCTTTACGAATCAAATCCAACATTGACATGAAAGAGAGAAAGATAACATCCTAACAGAGGTAGAAGTCATCCAAGCTATATAGAAATTGAAAGAAAACAAAGCTCCTGGGGCCGATGGTATTCCTTCAGAACTTTTAAAGCATGGCAAAAAACCTCACATACTGTATAGGTAGACTGGTAGAACTGATCTGGAAGCAAATAAAGTTGCCAGAAGACTGGAATGTAGGTATAATTGTACCTATCCACAAGAAAGGAGATCAAACAATGTGACAACTACAGAGCAATAACCCTCCAAAACGTAACATACAAAATATTGGCATATATTCTTTAAGACCGACTATCGGGATATTGTGAAGACATAATAGGTAAATATCAGTGTGGGTTTCGTAAAGAGAGATCAACGACCGATCAAACATTCCTTCTAAAGCAAGATCTGGAAAAAACATATGAGTATAGCATTGATACTCATCACCTGTTTGTTGATTTTAGATGTGCCTTTGATAGTGTTGAAAGAAACACACTGTACAAGGCCATGATAGAATTCAGCACACCAGTACACTTAGTAAAGTTGGTGAAAGCGACCCTCTCAAGAGTCGAGTGTAAAGTTAGAGTGCAGAACGGAGTTTCCAGAACGTTCCAGTCTCAGATAAGACTTAGACAAGGGGACAACCTATCATGCCTTGTATTCAATATTGCATTAGAGAAAGCGATAAGAGAATCTGGAATAACAACCAGAGGAACTATTATTAATCGCAGCGTACAATTACTATCGTACGCCGATGACATCGACATTATTGCAAGAAGACAGGCGGACGTGGTTGAATCATTCAAGGCGCTTGAAGCAGCAACAAAAATAATGGGACTAGAGGTTAACACTAGTAAGACGAAGTATATGAAAGTATCAAATTATATACAGGAAGCACAACCCGAAGATCTAACGATCGGAACATATACTTTCGAAGGAGTAAGAGAGTTTATATACCTAGGCTCACAAATTAATCAGAATAATGCAGTAAGTGCAGAAATTAACAGACGGATATATCTGGCAAAAAAAGCCTATTATGGATTAAAAATTTTTTTAACAACAAGCCTAGTTACAAAAAGAATGAAAGCCCATTCTCACCTACGCGATGGAAACATGAACGATGACAAAAAGCGATAAAGAACGTTTAAAATGCTTTGAACGTAAAATCCTCCGGCATATCTATGGAGGAGCACAGGAAGGCAGATTATGGCGTAGCCGCTATAATTTCGAACTTTACCGCCTGTATGACAAACCTGATATTATTAGGTCCATCAAAATAAACCGGCTACGGTGGTTATGTCACATAGAGAGAATGGATGAGATGAAACCGCCAAAACATATTTATAACCAAAGAATAGACGGATTAAGAAGGATAGACAGACCCAGAGCACGATTTAAGGATCAGGTGGAGGAAGACTTGAGAATGTTGGGAGTACGAAACTGGAAAGTCATGGCGAAGAATAGGAGAGAATGGAGACTTATCCTTGAGCAGGCCAAGACCCACCATGGGTTGTGAAGCCAATGATGATGACTTGACTTGTGGTTCTTCGTCTACCTTGACCTGGCCTCCTGGTGTATTGTCCTGTTTCCCGAAATCTTTGTATTGCATCAAACACTGTACTTCCAGAAAGGCCTAAAGCATTTGCTATGTAACGAATTTGTGCTACTTCTTCTGGTGTAATGATTTTTTAATGTTTTTAAGTTTTAAACAGGAGACCAACGTGGCTCTACTGATGTTTTTATGTCAAAACTGGATCTAATACTTGATGTGCTAGTCTCCGAAGGTAAGGCTATAATATTAACAGGTGATTTTAATATAGATTTCAAATCAAATGCATTAAGTAAGCAGAACTTGGTGAATGTTTTAGATTCTTGGCTTAACTGTAACTGTTAATGATTATACAAGAGTAACTGCAACTAGTAAAACTCAAATTGACTATATTGCTACAAACATAAATCACCCACAAAAAACAATGGTTGTGGAAGGTTTTATCTCTGATCATCGTGCGCAAATATTCCAATGTAGCATTAACACAGACAATGACGCCTATATATTCATCCGTTCATATAGTGAAAGGAACATAAATCGTTTTGTTCAAACCCTTGAGTCAACAAATTGGTCAGAGGTATTTAATACAATTTCTGCTGAGGATAAATCATTAGCTTTTTTAAATACTATCCAAAATTATTTTCGGTCCCATTTTCCACTACTTAAATGTAAACCTAAAAAAAGTACACGTTCGAATTGGTTTACGCAGGAACTGTACAATTTAAGGGATCAGCTAAAACTTTTAGAAACGATCTGTCAGCAAAATAGTAGTCTTAGGACAGTCCTTCATTTGGCAAAGGCAGAATATTCAATTAAATTAAAAGCTGCTAAAAGTAGTCACTTCATGAGACAGTTGAACGAATCATCAAATAAAATTAAATGTATTTGGCGTTTAGTAAACTTAACAGTCGGGAAACAAAATAACTCAAAAGTACCTAGTGATGATAACAGTAATTTAGCAGACAAATTTAACCACCATTTTGTTGAAATGGCTCACAAAGTTACTTGCCGCTTTGGATCCTACTAAAATAGATGGGTTTACATCAGCATCAAAAAACCGTAATAGTTCTTCTATGTTTTTATATCCAACTAACCAACAGGAAATAACTAGTATAGTCGGAAGTTTTAAATCCAAACACAGTTGTGGTTTTGATCAGATTTCCCCTAAGTTATTAAAACAATGCATTCATGCTCTCGCAGATCCACTGACGGATATTTGTAATGCCTCTTTTCAACAAGGAATATTTCCTAGTATGTTTAAACTATCTATTGTAATCCCTTTATTCAAAAATGGTGATAAAGATGACCTTAACAACTATCGTCCCATAAGT